CAGAGCCTACTAATTGGTCCTAAAAGCCTTCTGAGGTCCCAACTCTTCTCATTATCTCTTAGTTGTTGGAATGGATGGGAAACCTCATAAGCAGTTCCTTACTTCACCTTTACTTTGCATGTGAACTTTCGAGTTGTAAAACAATCCAGTGGTAGATGGACTTTGCTCCAGGACTTAAGAAGCATATATGACATAGCTGAGCCTCTACATCTTGTGGTTCCTAAACTGTACACTATAATAGACAAAGTACTAGTCTATAGGCCTTTTACTGTAAGAACCACCTTCCCTCTGTAACTTGATTTATGCCACTACTAGAACCTCTACTCAGAATATTTTTGCTTGTTAATTTTTGACTCATGTACTTTTAACTTGTTAAGTTAAATTTGTGTCTTCTAGGTTGCAACACCTCCATGATACATCTTCAAGGATATGAACATGTACGGCTAAGCACAATTAATAGCAGTGCATCTAAATTCCAAAATCAATCTGTAACAGTATTATTAATAAAATTTCCACTTTCTGATTTGTTTTTACTTGTGAAGTTTGTGGCTTTCTTACCATCATGTGGCTGTATAACATAATGACTTCCTCCAATATAGTCTGCAGAAATTCCCAGCTGAGAAGCATCTGTTGTCGAGCTGTCACCATCCATCTATGGGAGAGAAAAGCTTTTTAGTACTTTTTTAAGAAAAGGTTTATACACAGAGAGAATAACTGTGGAGAGTTGACAGGTAGGGGCGGGAGGGGAGAGGGTGGGAGCAGGGGTGAGTCACTGGAAGCGCAGGGTGAAGGGTAACAGAGACCATAGCGAGGCTTTTTTTTTTCCACAGCAAGGCTTTAAGAAGACAAATAATAAAAAAAATTAAAAAAAAAAAAAGAAGACAAATAATGACATGATACAACTGAGTTACAAGACAAAATGTGTATGAATGGCTGAAAACCAATTAAAAAACAGAGAGGGTGCCTTAAAAGCCGTTAACAGAGTCAATATTCAAAGGCTGTGAGAGCATAGTGCAGTTCAAGTTTTCAGTCTTAAACATGGCGGGATTGTAACCAATGCCACAAAATAAAATGTCTACTCACTGTTGAATGGAAAAAGAATTTGCTATGTAAATTTTACACCCAAATAACAATTTAAAAAAATGGGGGGGGAGTTTTATTTCTCCATTACCGCTGAAAAATCTGCCAACTATTTAAGATTTCCCTACTTACCCTTCACAATTGATAAGATCCGTAAGAAAATTTAAAATTTACACCTCTTTCTTTTCAATTACACAATCTTCAAAAATGGTCGAGGCAATCCTGACATGCAATCTAATTTATCCCTAGAATGACAACTAAAGCCAAAACCAGCTTGCCTGTCTTTTGGAGTTATCTGTAGCCATCACTTTGGCTCTCCTGCTAAAACCTGCTATTTCTGGGCAAATCATTTCTAAAAAGAGCAAATCTTTCTGGCTCCTGTTACAAACTTTGTTAACTCAGAGAACTTCCAAAGCAAATGTTGTAAACTATTGTTTGATGAAGAAGCCTAAGAGTTTTCTAATTAATTATCTACTCATATAATCTATAATGAAGCAGCCAATCACCTTTGATTCTAATCAAAGGTCCATTTTTCTCTGTCTCCCAGCTTTGGAGCAGGGGGGGCAGAGAGAGGAGCAGTGGGCAAGGAGATTACATATCTGCATATAAAGAAAACGATAGACAATAGTCCAGAATGAGTCATTAAAGCATCTTCTTTTAAAAGAAACCTATGAGAAGCCCAATGAGAGTTATACAGACCAATGGAATAGATTGATAATCCAGAAATTAAGCCATCTACCTACAGCCAAATGGTATGTGACAAGAAAACAAAACCTATCAAATAGGGACATGACAACCTCATCAACAGAGGTGGTGGCAAAACTGGGTATCTATTTGCAGAAAGATGAAGCAGGATACACATCTCACGCCACACACAAAAATCAACTCAAGGTAGAGCAGAGTTTTAGATCTAGCAGTAAAGTCCAAAATCCAAAATGATTAGGAGACAAACTAGGACCAAACTTATAATCTATGTTGTTGTTATATGCCGTTGAGTTGCTTGTGACTCACAGCGACCCTATGTATAAGAGCCCTATATGCTGCTCCACCCTGTGCCAACCTCACCATCTCCGACACACTCATTCCCACCACCCCAATCACAGAATCGATTCATCTCATCGAGGGTCTTCCTCTCCTGTGCTGTCCGTCCACTTTCCCAAACACGATGTCTCTCTCCAAGGACCAGTCCCTACTTGCAACATGCCCAAAGTATGTCAGATGAAGCTTCAGAATCCTTGACTCCAAGGAGCATTCTGGCTTCACCCTCTCCAGGACAAAACTGTTTGTTCTCCTAGCAGTCCATGGTATATTCAACAGTCTCTCCAGAGCTCAAAGGCATAAAATATCTATCATCCCTAGTCACTGTCCAACTTTCGGATGCATAGCACATAACTGCGAAGACTATATCCCGGATCAGGCGCACCTTAGTCTCCAGCCTGACATCGCTGCTTTTCAGTATTCTTGAGAGGTCCCTCATAGCTGACTTTCTCAGTGTAATTCATCTCTTGATTTCTTGGCTGCTGGTACCAAGAGTGTTGACTGTGGAGTTAGCTTATTTATAACATAGGCTTGCAAATATAACCAGAAATGGATAACCAAGAGAAGGTAAAATCAATGAGTGGGGCCTTCTAAAAATTAAGTCCCTGTGCATTTCAGAAACTTTTTCCTATAGGGTGGAAAGAAAAACTACTGACTGTCATTTCCCAATGACATTTCAAACAAGGGTCTTATAACGAAAGTTTACAGAATACTCCCGGGCCTCTACAAGTATAAAACTGATAATCCCATCACAAAATAGGCAAAAGAAATAGAAAGACTTTTCACAAAGAAAGATATTCTGATGGTCAACAGACACAAGAACAAATGCTCAACATCACTGGCAATCAGAGAGATGCAGATCAAAATCACAATGAGATACCTTCTCACTTCAGTAGCAGTAACAAAGTTTAATAGGACAGCAAGCAACAAATGTTGGAGAGGGATGTGGAGAGATTGGAACTCTCATGCACTGCTGTTGGGATTGTAGAAAGGTGCGGGCATTCTGGAAGGCAAGTAGGTGTTTCCTCAAAAAGATGAACATAGAAATCCCGTATGAGCAAGCTATTTCACTGCTAGGAATATATTCCAAGGAAAATAGAACTGACACACAAATAGAAATTTGTACTCTGGTGTCCATTTACAATAGTAAGAAAACATAAACAGCCCAAATACCCATCAACAAATGGATTAAGAAACCATGGTGCATTCACACAATAGAATACTATGCAGCACTAATGATTTCATAAAATATTATATATAACATGAGAGAGTCTAGGGAGCATTCTGCTGAGCAAATGAACTCAATCTCATAAGGACAAATTCTGCTTAAGAACATTATATTAAAAACAGAAGGACAACTAGTAAGATGTGTATATAAAAGTCCAAAGGGGGAAGAGGTGGGGACTAAGGGAGCAGAAAATGGAGAGGACAGGGAATCCCTAGGATAGCAAGTTCTTCAGACAGACAGGTGGTGGGGAGAGGGTGGGGTGAAAGAATGAGAAAGATCTTGAAAAGACTGAGTATATACAATGTATAGAAATTATATGAAGCACAATGTAAAGGAAGGAATGCATGAAGCACAAGGTACATGAAAGAAACACAATGTACTAAAAAAATCATGTTCAATAATTTTTTTTTAAAAGCCTATTTAATTTATTTTGTCAGAGCCTAGAATTCTAATAGGGAAAATCTGAGGGGGGAAGTTGAGCCCTAAATCCTGGACTGGCTCCATCCCATGTCCCTCCACAGCAAAACCTGGGAGTCCAGGATCACATACTTAACATCTTTCTGTTCTGCAAATAATAATACTAAAAATAACAAGAGGCTAGCTATTTGTGGGTAGAAAAATACAGTATCTGAATTAAAACAACAAAATGTCAAAACCAACCAGAGAAATAAGGTGGACTAAATGAAGAGGAGACACATTTTATCCCAATGTTTATCGGTGCCCAAGATCCATAGAAACTTCATATTATTCATAACTTGGCTGCTTTTCCAGCTTTGTAGGCTTTTTATTTAATATGAAAATACCAGGCTAGTTTCTGTAAGTTTTCAATAGCATGGCATTTCTTTCATGCATCTGTGAGATCTAGTTTAATTACAGATACAGACACACTTCCATGATTAAAATTAGTTTTAAGAGGACAGAGGACAGAATCCAAATACCTTTAAGCATTTATGAAAGCACAGGATTACAATCTATTTACTGATACCTTTTAGGGGCCTCCAAAAGGGGAACAAAGTGGTGAGTTCACTGAGACTCTCCTACAGATCCCTGCAAGCAAACCTCCTTACCAGTTGAACTATTTCTACATAAAATAGAAATATATTATCCTCTACATCTTAAATAATTGGAAGGTCAGCTATGGGTCGGTTCCAATTGACAGTACACAACCACCACTACCACCCATGTGATTTACAGCCTCTGAAAACCTAATGGGAGCGTCAGCTATGTGAAGGTTCTGTCCTGACTCCATAGTAAACAAACCATTAGTCACAATCAACTTGATGGCAGTGAGCTTTAGTCTATTTAAAAGGAGTCCCTAGTGACACAAATGGTTCAAAAGGACCTACAGGTGCCCCAGAAGACAAGTCTGGCACTTTGCTTCCAAAAGGTTACAGCCTTGAAAACCTTATTGATTTTCAGGCAACTAACAGCAGAGGAGAACAAGGTGCAGGAGACAGGGTCAAAGAGATTGTTTCAGAATGTATCAGTGCAAACAAATCTTTTTTAAAACAAAATTAAGTTACAGAAATTACTTGCTATATCATTGTTCATGGGATAAGAGTCTCTAAATTAGGTGACATGCTGCATACTTACTCACTGTTCAAACAATCAGGTGCAAATGGGAGAGGAAGTCATTTGCGCAGCATACACCAAAGTATTAAATGTAAAAAGTTTAGATCATACTGGATCATGGACTAGATTTAGTAGCAAAAGGAATTATGTTAGGGGAGCTCTGGTGGCCTAGTGGCAAGAAGCTGCACTGCAATCCCAGAGACGCATGGTTCAAATCCACCAGGTGCTCTGCCGGGAAAGGAGGGACAATCTCCTCCTGTACCAGTCAGATCTGATCTGATGGTACACAGACACACACAAAATAAAAAAAAAAAAAAAATTAAAAAAAAAAAAAAAGGAATTATGTTAGCCTCAGTCTTCTAAAAATGGGGATAATGTATTGCTCGGAGTTGTCATAATAAGTTAAAGCACAGAAAACAGCAAAGGTTGGCATGTGACATACTCAGAAGATATTTGGTCTCATGCTCCCTGATTAACTGTGTATCTCTTAGGTGCTGCAATTTCTAGCTTTTCTATCATTTCATCTGCCTCTCTCTTCCTCTCCTAGATCTTCCTACTAATAAAATCCCAAGCCACACTTTAACCTAGTGATTTCATTGGCATCTTTTCTGACTTACCCTATTCTACAATCCAACATTTAATATTACCTTCTCTGATGCCTCATGGTGCTGAGAGCCTTTTCAATCAATAAATGAGCCTAACCTTTGATGCCTGCCAGCCACTCTCAGATATTT